AAAGTTCAGTATATAGATGCATTGTTGCACGGTATTATACAAGTTAGGAGGTTAGTAGATTATTTATTATGTTGATATTATTATGAGCACATATTTGATGGGATCGGTTATCAGGTTTTTTTTTTCACTATTTGCGCTATATTTAGAATATGACATAGTGGGTGTTAATGTCCCTTATTTAGAACTGCACTTAGCGCATTCAAAAGAGAAACCGTGCAAAAAAAAAATGGTTTCAATTTCACTTTATATATTCTTTAATAGATCATGTCTGGTTTGTAATAGTAAGTTATTGGGAATTCTGGGACCAACACTTCCATGATTTGGAATTCAGGGGTCAAAACTTTCAGGATAGTTGATCTCTTGGATCCTCCACAACACTCCTTTTTTTTTTCTTTTTTTTTTTTTTCTGCTGACCTCCACGCATTACAGGATACAGTGATGATATAAAGGTCCACAGGGAAACCACAAAGCACTGCAGCGGACCAAGGAGATTGACACTCCTATAAGTGCCAGTTTTACAACAGACTTCAGAGACCCATTTCACAACATAGGAGTGGAGATCATTGCAGCAGGAAAAATAAGTTTGTTTTTTTTGCAGATATAGCTTAGCTGGATATTTTTTGTGCAGCAGTATGTTAGCTGTCAATGTTAATTCACATCTAGATTAAGTACATTCATAAAGTATTTAGAGCCCCTTCACTTTTTTAATTTTGTAATGTTGCAGCCTGATACTACAGTCGTTTAAATTCATTTTTTCCCTTATTATTCTACACTCAGTACCCCATAATGACAAGTGAAAACAATTTTGGAAATGTTTGCAAATTTATGAAAAAGGAAAAACTGAAATGTCACATTGGCATAAGTATTCAGGCACTTTGCAACAACTCTTGAAATTTAGCTCAAGTGCCTCCCATTTCTCTTGATCCTTGCTGAGATGTTTCTATACCTTGACTGGAGTCCGCCTGTGGTAAATTAAGTAGATTGGACATGATTTGGAAAGGCACACCTCTCTATAAAAGGCCTCACAGCTGACATTGCATACTGTGTTAGAGCAAAAGCCATAAAGTCAAAGGAGCTGCCTGCAGAGCTCAGAAACAGAATTATTGCAAGCCACAGATTTGCGGATAGCTACAAAAAACGTCTGCTGCACTGAAGGGTCCCAAGTGCACAGTGGCCTCCATAATTCTCTTCCAAGTGCTAGTCACCCAGCCAAACTGAGCAGTCGGGGGAGAATGGCCTTAGTCAGAGATGTGACCAAGAGCCCGATGGTCACTCTGTCTCAGCTCCAGAGATCCTGTGTGGAGATGGAAAAGCGTTCCAGAAGGATAGCCATCACTGCAGCCCTCCACCAATCTGGGCTTTATGGCAGAGTCGTAGACAGAAAACATATGGAAGCCCGCTTGGAGTTGACAAAAAAGCACCTGAAGGACTGTGAAGAGCAAGGTCTGATGAACCCAAGGTTGAATGGATTGGCCTCATTTCTAAATGTTATGTCTGGAGAAAACCAGCATTGGTCATCATCTGCCCAATACCATCCCAGCAGTGAAGCATGCTGGTGGCAGCATCATGCTGTAGGACTGTGAGACTGGTCAGGGTTGAGTGAAAACTGAATGGAGCAAAGTACAGAGGTATCCTCAATGAAAACTGTTGCACTGTATTTAGGACTTCAGAGTGGGCCAAAGGTTTACCTTCCAACATGACAATGATCCTAAGCAACAAAGCCAAGACAACACAGTAATGGCTTGTGGGCAACTTTGTGAATATCCTAGAGTGGCCCAGCCAGAGCCCTGACTTGAACCCTACTGAACATCTCTAGAAAGACCTGAAAATGGCTGTTCACCGAAAGTTCCCATCCAACCTGACTGAGCTTGAGAGGATTTGCAAAGAAGAATGGCAGAAAATCCCCCAATACAGGTATGCAAAGCTTGTCACATCATACCCAAAAAGATTTAAGGCTGTAATTACTGCAAAGGTGCTTCAACAAAGTGCTGTGTACAGGGTCTAAATACTTAAGTACATGGGATATTTCATTTTTTTTTCTTTTTATTAAATTAACATACATTTCCCTTATCACCCCTATATGATAACCCCGCTCTTCCTCAGGGGTTGGGCTCTTTTACTATTGGACCCTTTACACGCGCCTCCTGACCCGTAGCTCAAGACTTTATCTGCCGCCAATCAGGTCTTCCGCTCCTTCAAAATGGGCCTAGGGATTGGTTGACCACTTTACACCTATCCTCATTTTGCAAGCACTTACAGTCTTCCTCCAACACTCATTGCCCACTTTCTGTGCTCCCTCTCTGAACCACCGAGACACGTCCTAGTTTCCCTCTATAAAGTGCTCCACAATTTTCTTCATTCTGAACTCCCTCCCTACACTAAAGTGTGGGCTTGAGACCTAGGTAAAGACATATCGGCTGAGGATTGGTCCACATCATTTCACTTCACTCATAAATCGTCTATTTCTTGCTATTCAGAAGAAAAGAAGTTTAAGCTTCCTTCTCGATGATACAGGGACCCCCTCTCCCTACACAAAATTTTTCCTTCTACACCTGATCTTTGTTGGCACTGTAATAGAGCTGTTGGTACACAGCTCCACATTTGGTGGGACTGTGATCAAATACAACCCTTCTGGTGACAAGTTTTTACTGTATATAACAGGATCTATGGTGAGTCCTTGGCCCCATCGCCAGAAATTGCTCTTCTCTCTATATTACCGGGCTCACTGGCAGCGCAGAAGAAAAGTCTGTTGCGTTTCTTTCTGTCTGCGGCCTGCCAATAGATACCCCTCTTTTGGAAAATGGCCATTCCCCACTCTTTCCGATGTGGGTTTCTGTGCTTAATGGTACCATACGTATGGATGAAATGCTGGCATTTGCCAATGGTACCTATGATAAACATAAGTTGCTGTGGTCGGTCTGGCTCCATTTCTCCTCCTCTTCGACTCTCCGTGATATGTGTTCCCGTGTTGCGCCCTAGTGGGGTTGAGCCTTGCTCCCGCGACTCATTTTTTGGGCCCTGCGATCTGTGCCAGGATGCGGGCGGCGGGGTCACTCCGGTGGGATACAAGTGGGGAGCCACCTTGATTCTGCTTTCTGCCTTCTGCCATTGCCATCTCCTAATTCCCTCTCTTCTCTCTCTTCTCCTCCTTCTCTATCCTTACCACTGGGTTCCGCCCCCCCCCCTTTTTTTTTTCCTCTCCCTTCTCTTTCTCAGTTTGGGTTTACACTCCTGGTTGTACGGAGTTCTCTCATCTTTTTCCATACATCTCGCCTGAGGATACCTCCCTGAAACTATTTTTTGTTATATCTCCATAATATGGGTTATTGATCCTTCCCTCTTGCTGTTGTATTGCATCATTTTCTTCCATCCACATGGATCATAGCCACACTTGTGATGTTTACTTACTTGTACATGTTCTTTTTATTTCTCATGCTTTGTCTGTTAAATTTGTGCAAAAATAATAATGACAAATTTTCCTTTAAATTAACATACATTTCTAAAATTCTATTTTCACTCTGGGGTACTGAATGCAGATTGAGGGGAAAAAATGAATTTAAACAACTGTAGTGTCAGGCTGCAACATAACAAAATTTAAAAAAGTGAAGGAGGTCTGAATACTTTATGAATGCACTGTATATCAGACACCCTAGCCAAGTAGGTAGGGTAACAGTATTGTCTGATGTATTTACTGAGTGCTCTCAGGTGATGCAAGGTGCATATCTATGCTGCAGGCTGTACAAAGAAATAACAAAATGCCATTTGACAGTAGTGCGTGCAGTGTCTTTTTCGTTAGTTCTAGAGATTCCTAGATACCCAGCCTTTCAGTGAAGTTGGAGGTGAAATGTGCAGACAGTGATCCAAAATATCTTCCTACGAAAGAGCTGTCTTTACTCCTGTATATTTGTATCATCCAAATGTGCATGCTTGTTCCTCTGATGTAGGAAAGGAGAACACTCAATAGACACGTCCAGCTTATCTCATGAGAAAAGCCATGGCAGTTGGCCAGTAAAATCCAGCCCAGCCAAATTATTATTCATTTGCTTGTTGTGAAAGGCAGCAAAAACATGCGTAGCAAAGAAAGAATGTTCCACATACTTTTGCTAAAGTGACCTGAGGTTGCATGGTAAGTCACAGAACGCTTTATCGTGCTCAGTGCACTGCCTCTGTGTGGACTACAACTTTAGCACTTCAAGGCCTGCTTTTTTTCTAAAGCTATCAGCAACAAACTGACATCACCTCTGTCTTTTCGGCAGGAAAAAAACCCATGAAACAACACTGAAATTAGAATAAGTGCATTGTGACGGAGGTTTGTAAATCACAAAACTGAACTCACAGTATTACAAATCCTTTAAAGGAAAAGCAGTCTATTTAGCTGTTTTATTTTTTTGGCGTTTTGTTAAGGTGAAAGGATTGCTCACTGACTTAAAGCAGATCTTTAGTTAAAACGCAAGTCATTTTTTGGAGAAGAGAAAAAAAAAGTTGGAGGGACTGTGACTAACCACTTGTGGCAGTCAGCCAAATGGTACTCTATTTAAATTCTGAACATCTTCTTTATGATGTTTAGTTGATATCATGTGACTAAGTGTGTTTATGGTCAGGTGACTGACCTACACGGAAGCCCAGATAAGCACAGAGAAGTATTACACAGCATTTTAGTTGACAAGAAAGCAACATGTTCAAAAAGGGATGGGAGTGGTGTGTTTTAACTTTACTTCCACGTTAATAGTGCTCTGGTACCAACAGTTAACACATTGGTTTCTGATTATTACATTTATTTGTCAACACCAGAGTGTAAGAGCCACCTTAATCTTTTATAAAACTAAGGTTATACTGCAAAACGTGAAAGTGTTACCTAATCTACAAAGGAGGTTTGAGGTTTCTTTTTATTTTAAAAAACTTTTCAGTATAATGATGTGTTCTGTGTTTAAAATTACAGTAAATGTGTGTACTTTGTATTTATATTGATTGATTCTGAAATTATTTTATTCTTTCCACAGTGAATCTGCATGTCGTTTTTATAGTCAACAAATGAAGGGAAAGCAGTTAGCAATTAAGAAAATGAATGAGATACAGAAGAACATTGATGGATGGGAGGGAAAAGACATTGGACAATGCTGCAATGAATTCATCATGGAAGGAGCCCTAACAAGAGTAGGGGCTAAGCATGAAAGACATATTTTTCTCTTCGATGGCTTGATGATCTGTTGTAAATCAAATCATGGACAGCCAAGGTTACCTGGTGCCAGCAACGCTGAGTATCGGTTGAAAGAGAAGTTCTTTATGAGAAAGGTACAAATCAATGACAAGGATGACACTAATGAATATAAACATGCTTTTGAGATTATCCTAAAGGATGAGAACAGTGTTATTTTTGCTGCAAAGTCAGCAGAGGAAAAAAAATAACTGGATGGCTGCCTTAATATCCCTACAGTACAGAAGTACTTTAGAGCGAATGTTAGATGGGACAATTTTACAGGAGGAGAAAGAAGAACAGTTGCGCCTTCCAAGCCCCAAGGTGTACAGGTTTGCAGAGCCGGACTCCGAAGAGAATATAATATTTGAAGAAAATGTACAACCCAAATCTGGTATCCCCATCATTAAGGCTGGGACTGTAGTGAAGCTCATCGAGAGACTAACGTATCACATGTATGCAGGTATGGTATCTCTGAATCCTCTTTTATGAATGAGCCTGCAGTAAAATTTCTTTGTGGTCATAGATAGGTAGATCTCTTAGATAATAACGTAAAAAGCATTTTGCCTGTTAGTGTGCTGCAGCACCATTCCTGCCTAATAGTACCTCAGCATACCTTGCAGCATGTGAACCTTTTTTGTGTGTTTTGCTGCATTAGGCAGACCATTCAAATGAACACATCAATGTGCGACATAATTTTTGTGTTAACATGCTCGTCCATAGTGCAACAGTGTGAACCCAGCTCTAGGCTGCATTTGCACTACAGAAGCACATAAATGCATGCAAAATCATGCAATTTTGTGCTCTTGTTCACAAAACGCGCTAAATTGGTCATACTTGTGGTTCCATCAACAATTGTGAATGGGCCATTAACAATTGCCTTCTGGGAGATCAGGAAGATATTTTTTTTTCCTTTGCTGGAGAGTAATCTTTTTTGTGGGTGTACTATAGTATTCTGTATATGGAGGTTTTCTATTTTCTGTTCTGCTTTTTTCCATTGATCTGACTTTTTTCACCTTGACTAACTACATAACAGTGACCCAGCCATTCTTATTGCTCAAGAGCAAATGCCACCAACTTTTTGGTACAGATTGGTTTTGTCCCCTGCTTCAATGTGGATTTTTAATGGGCAAATCAGACTCATCAAAGTTGTACTTACATTTGAAAATTTGGCAACTGTCTAGAAGTTCACCTTTCGTAACGTTACACTCGTATTCAGGGTCTAACATGTAATGATTATGGACAGCTTGATGGGCATTCCCCCCCCCCCCCAGCTTTCAAATTTAAAACCCGTAGCTGTGCAGGGCTTTGCCATCCCATCCAGCCGCGTCACTCATTCAGAGTCTTCTGTGAATAATAGACTACCAGTCCCGACAGCCTTAGCGGACGTCGGCTTGTAGTCCTCAATGAACTACCACGGCGCTGTGGTAGTTCATTCATTATTCCTGTCAGTATATTTGTTTGCCCGTACATTCCGTACGGGCAAACAGCTATACTACCAGGTCTGCAGGAGATCTGCATGGCACCAGCGATCTGCTGATCACTGGTACAATGCTTTACAGGCTCCTGCAGACAAAAATAAAAAATTCACATTTTTTTACATGCAAAAAAATGTGCATTTATTATTTTTTTAGTAAAAGGTGAACTTCTCCTTTAAGGCCCAGATCACACTAATGTGATTTTTGTTGCGACTTGAGTCTCTCAGAATCGCATGACACAGGAAATCACATTATTCTCAATGGTGCCCATTTACATCGATGCAACTCAGCACAGTACAATTTTGTAAAAGGTTCTTGTGCTACTTCGTTGCAACTTACTGTGTGGCATGGCCCCATAGAATACGCAAAAACGCAACCAAGTCGCACTACATAATCGCACTGAAAATCATGCCAAAATCACATTGCATTAGTGTGAATCTTGCCAAAATCACAGTGGCTTAGTGTTTGGCCAAGGCATAGCAGGTGCTTCTAACATTGAGATGGTCAAACAATAGTAACATTCAGTTTCAACAATATTTGTTATATCTTCTAATTGCTAGTGGATTCAAATTGATGATGTTGTCTACTGCAGTGACTAGAAAATTCAGGAGCAGGATGGGAAATATTTCTCAAAGGAAATTCTAACAGTGTGTATGGTTTTTTGTTTGGGAGGTCTGTGGGAAGCGGTGTAGCGAGCTGGAGGAGAGCGAAAAGGAAGAAAATGTGTGTGTGTGTGTGTGTGTGTGTGTGTGGGGGGGGGGTGGAGACAAAGGGACAGAATCTAAGAAAATAGAGGAGATCCTAGCTCTCTACGTGGGAACAATGGACCAACCATGGACCTATGACAGGTGCATCCATGCGACTGTGTGATGTAGGATATATAAGCCTCCATCCCTTGTTGTTTGTAGTCGGGACCCCTTTGATTATCTCTAGAGGGGAATCTAATGGGGTTTCCTTGGTCCACATTGCCAAGCATTATGAGGGATAATGGAAGCAACGAAGGTACAGAAAAGTGGGAAGCACACCCATGAGCCACTTGAAAAATTCAGCCAAAATAAATGGAAACAATTTCTGCTGCTATGGGCAAAAATGTTAACAGAAAATCAGCAGAAAGGTGTTGAGCCTAAGCAAGAACCCCTGTAGCTCTCCAATCCATCCCAGGTATCTGAGTAGGAGAAACTGCTATTGCGGTCTCCTTTTTGGGAGAACCAACAATGTAGGTAAAATTGAGAGTAGTTCAAATAATTCTTGCCACTTGTTTGACCAGGCTGAGCCCACGCTTGGGGGGGGGGGGGGGGTGTCCCCCAGCTGTGGTTCCAAGCTATGAGTTGGCAGAAAGTCCTCTGGTCCAGTATTTGCTGGGCAGGGGAGGAGAGAGGGGTGAAGGTTCCTCAAGTAATTTGTCAATGCCTCTGACTCCTTATGACTACAGTGTAGTTAGTCAAAGTTTTGTCCCACTGAAAGGGTCATAAGTAAAAGAAACATAGCACTCCCCATATAAACTGCAGCCCATATGCAAGCAAGATGAAAGCCAAGCAGACAGTTAGTCACATATGTCAATTAAGATCACCTGGATCCATTACAGTCTCCTTTATTTTCCATCAGTAAAGGAAAGAAGAGTGTAGCGTGTTAGGTTTTTGCCCTTACCTAGCCTACCCAAATAGGTATGTCGTTTAGAAGACTGTCAGGGCTTCACACATCTAAAACAGACACAGTGGACATCCTCAGAGGACTATATTGTGTGGATCATTCTCAAAGCAGGGAATATGAGACCATAGGATGTGGTGTAAAACAGGACACCTGGACACGGGTGTAGATAAGTGCCCACTGGCGAGCTGAAAGCCTGGAAAAAGATCAGTGAAGGTCTAACCAGAATTAGGCTTCATGGGTGTCAGGGTTGGTATCTCCTCAATTAGCAGGAGCATTTTCTTCATTGTTGTTAGGAAAGCAATGTTGCTCATCTCAGTGACAGATGATCATCTGGCTGTGACAGCCAGTCTGGGATTTTCATTGCTTTACTGCCAAGGAAGGAGAATAAGGGAGGGAGGAGGTCTGAATATTGCAGGTTGAATTGACTACCAGCTTTTTTACTCTATAAATGGAATGGATGATCCTATTTGTATGAGGGCCCCACCTCCTGGATACGCTGTAGTGGGGGTCTCTGTTGTCTTCTCATGCAGAGGGTTTGGTAGGGGAGGTCTGGGAGAAAGGAGATGGTGGATGCAAATGAACTCCAGAGTTTTCTTTTCTCTGAAATTCCCAAATCTCAATCAAGTAGTGAAAACTGAGAATTACTGTGGACTTTTAAGGTGCTGAAGGATAACAAACATTTTTTTTTTGTTTAACAGAATTTCTTAACAGAAATCAGTTGTTAGCAACCATATACAACATTTTGCTAAAATAATTAACCTTTTATATTTCCTGACTTTGGGGCCCCGGTGTATAAAAATTGCATATATCATATTACATTATATTCATCTGTGAATCATCATTCACCTTGGCCATGACACGTTACGTGGGTGGTACCCACTTCCTCACAAGGACTTCAGGAAATTACAATCTTGGTGAACATAAAAAAAAAAAAAAAAAAATCAATATGCAGGTCCATAAAATTACCCCATCAATGCTCAATATTAAAAAAAAAAAAAAAAAAAAAAAAAAAAGAAAGGAAGCCATACTAAATAGCCCATTTGTATATCCACCTCCCCATCTTCATTCGCTTTCACATATACATCCAAGCAACCTCTTCCACATATTCCCCTCAACTGGCATACATTGAGACCAGGCACACAACACATTCAAGTTGGACACACATCACTACATCCTAACCTAAACACTGACCACACACTTCACCACAGACACCTTCAACCAACTGCCATCCACAACCAATACATGTACACAGCAACCACACTTGCCTCCCGGGGTCTTTGTTGTCACGGTTCCCCCTTTTTTTATGGGAGAGATTTTGGTGAGAGAAAACGCCAATCCAGTGGGTAAATATGGTTATACAGCAAACGATGTTTAGGTTATACATTTGTATTTTATGAAATGTATATATAATTAATTTTTCCCAATGAAACTTGTCAAGGCCTGTGGGAACCCCATATATATGTCACAATGATTCACGGAAGAATACAATGTAATATGATATATGCAATTTAGGTACATAGGAGTGTCCCGGGCCAAGTCAGGATGTACAAATGGTTAAAAGATATTTAGCAAAATATTGTATTTGGAAGTTTATACCTGATTTATGTTAAATTTAATAAAAATACATGTTTTATTCTATCTTTCAGCGCCTTAAAGTGGAACATTAGTCAGAAAATTAAATCCTACTAAATCACTTCCTGCTGGCCCGTTTTGCAGGTATAGCTATGTAAAACATTAACATTGTTTCACCATGCTCTGCACATGCTCAGCTGCTCTCTATTTTCTGGCACTGCTGAAAATGTATAGGCCGATCTGATAGCCTAAAGATTTACTGCTGCTCTGGGCTTCACCAAAATGGCTGCCTTCAGCAAGAATAGACAGGAACAATGCTGGAGGAAATTTACAACACACACTCATTTTCGTAGCATAATTATTCAGCTGGCATGTACACTCATCGGCCACTTTTAGGTACACATTGCTAGTGCCAAGAAAATATCCCCCACACCATTACACCACCAGCCTGAACCATTGATACAAGGTAGGATGGATCCATGTTTTCATATTGTTTACACAACTTGCTGCTCGGGATATTTTATCTTTTTTTCAGACCATTCTCTAAACCCTAGAGATGGTTGTGTGTGAAAATCCCAGTAGATCAGCAGTTTTTTAAATACTCAGGCCAGCCTGTCTGGTACCAACAACCATGCCACGTTCAAAGTCACTTAAATACCCTTTCTTCCCCATTCTGATGTTTGGTTTGAACTTCAGCAAGTCGTCTTCCCCATATCTAGATGCCTAAATATGTGGATACTATTGCAGAGCAGGAAGACTCCAT